TCTTACAGCCCTGATATAAAATTTACTTGATCATAAAAATCCTTGTTTCCATAAAATAGACTTATCAGGCAAGGTATGCCTGTATAATTTTTGTGAATATATGTTTTTCATTAATTAATAAGCAGTGATATGATGTCATTAGAGAAAACAACTTATTTTTTTCCAAGTGAGTGTTTCAAACTTAGGGTGGTCCTAAAATTAAGGTAAAGAAGAATTATACATATAAATTTATGCTTCAGAAAGACACAATTTCCTCTTCTGTTTATAATTAGCAGTAAAACATCAACACTTAGATTTGTAAATCTTTGAAAACCCTTTGACTTTTCTCTAGTCACACTTATGAGAAATTACTGATCTCTTGGAAAAGGGAAAATTATGAATGGCAGAGCAGAAAAACAGTATAAAAGAAGAGACGTGGTGACATGCATGTAGCAAAATAACTCTTTTTAGAGAAATGATTTAAAAGGAATTTAAGTTTGTTCCTAAGGAAATCACAGAGGAGATGTGTAACGATACACATTTAGAAATTGTCTACATGCAAATAAATGACAGGAAAAAGCAGTTACTTTCCTAATTTGTCCTAATGCTTTCTCTGTGACTCTAACAAATGCAAGTGCAAATAAAACATATCCTATCTGCACCTGCTATTTAGGGAGTCCCCTGAGGGTGAGACATGAGGTAGAACTAAATACACTGGTCTTACAGCTGATAATAGGTTTTTATCATATTTACTGTATTTGAAATAGCCTTGCTTTATGCTAGGTCCTTCCCTGTCCTTCTCCAAAGTCCCAGAATGGGTCACGGCAAAGGAAAATAAAACTTCACATTTTACTTTTGCACACATGGGAAAATCCAACAAGCTCACAGTGTGGGCACTAGAATGATGGGCTCCCCTAATGATATGCTAAGACTGAGGGCAGGCGGGAATTCTATCTCATTCACTTGACCATGTTCAACAATATCTAGCATGCTATCATGGATAGAGTGTGTAAAACCTAATGGATGCCTGTTAAAGGAAAGAAGAGTACCTGATTGCCACTGACTTGCAAAAAAGGGAGGATCTTTTTTCTCTTTGGCTCTCACATTTTCTAGGAGGACAACTTGAGGCCATGACAGAGAGATGTGCATGTGTCCTTCACTAGTGTAAGTGAGAGTGTAAGTGAGAGTCCTCTGGAGACTTCGTAAGCTTCTGTCGCTCCATCACTGAGCAAGTACAGAGTGAGCCATCTTTAGCCATAGCTACTCGCTATGTAGTTCAGAAAAAAGGTCAAATATAAAGAAATTAATATCAAAGGCATAAAGGGAATACTATCAAAGGATAATGAGGTTATTAATGAGGAGCCCATCCTGACTAGATTTATGGGAAAAAAAAAAAAAGGATTATTTAATGGATGATGTACCAGGTTGTGTTCCTCAGGTAACAAAATCTGAGACACAAGAAGTTGAAGAATACGAGCTCAATTCCCTAGGAAGGAAGGGGAGAGAAGCAAGATTCCTTCAAGGTGAGGTGAACTGTGGTGTAGTCCTATGGGAGGCTTCAGCCAATCAACTGAAGTGTCTGTGAGCTGAGAGATTTCTGCTGGCAATGCTCCCAGCAGAGGGCACAAGCATCCCAAATGGTAATATAAATAGTAATGTTAATGCTAAGACAGTATGTCTTAATGTATGTTTATGGTGATTTTTTTCATATTTTCAAATTGCTCTAACATTACTTATCTCATTCACAAGAACCATATGAAGTAATCCTATGTCACCATACTCTAACTTGATAAAGATTTTCAATTTCATATATCTCATTAAAGATAAAGCTGAATAAAACAGAATTAGTGACAACAACAAAAGCCCAGGCTTCTTAACACCTGTAGTGCACTCTTTCCATTCTCACAATACCAGGTGCCAAGTTTAGGTGTTCAGGTTTTCTCAATATGGACCCAGGCATCTCTGAGAAACAAAAATGACTTTTTTGGACATTAGGTGTATGTATTTGTTTTAGATATAATTAAGTTAATTTTTCTTTCCATATTTTTTCTTTTTCAGTTTTTCATTTTATTCTCCCACATCTTCCTCTGTTCTATGTAAAAATTACATATAAACAAAATCAAACTTTTCTTATTGTTATAAGTGATATTATAATGATATGGAAGAGTTTAAATTTCCAAAACATTGTAGAAACACCTGTATAATTTGTATCCCTTATACAACCCTTATAGGAATATGTTGTCAATTTTGTGAAAAATAACTCATTAGGATGCCAATAAAATTCTCCATTATTTCAACAAAGTTACATATATAAAGGTTATCATATCAACATTTTAAACACAAGATGGATATCCTAAGAAAATATTATTTGAGCTAAGTTTTATGAGCTTTATTTTATATTTGAGGAACAACAGAAAAGGATTGACTTAATTGTTAATACTGTGTTAATTTTTTTTCTAATTTTCTCAAATGTGTTTAGTAACCTACCAGCAATTTAACAGCCACAAAAATATTTATAGCAATGCATGACTTTTTTTATCAAGACAGAAAATTCATTAAAAGCTTTCATTCTTACCTGGAACCCCATGCCCCAAAAAGTATAATAGAGTTTAGTGGGAAATGGATATTGAGGTTAAGAGAAACCTTGGGTTCTGTCCTAGCCATACACTACCTAGCAATGATACCGTCAGGAGGTCACTTAATACCTCTGTGCCTCTGTTCTTCTCTTACATGATCACCATAATGCCTAAACTGTTGGCTACACCAGGTTGCAAAAAAACAACTAATAGGTTTGACAAAATCAGAGCACTTTCCCAAGAGTTGATAATCTTTTTGCAATAAAGGGCTTTTCTTTTTCTGATTACTGTAATTACAGTACTACAGATTCATTTTAGAAAATTCAGAAAAGGATGTCTCACCACATGAAGATAAACTCATGCTCTTGTATTTCTGTTTAATCTCATTTGTTCTTTGCCTGGCTTTTTGTCTGATTGTTAGTTTTGTGAGAGAAGGGGATGAGGGGACTAGGTCCTGCTTCTGTTACTGTTCTCTAGGAGAATAATAATGTAAGCATTCTCAGATCTCCCTACACATCAAGGTTGTCAGTATCACTATGCAATAAAATTTCTTCTGTTACTTTATCTTAAAACTGGTCTAAAATACCTATGTCATAGTTTTGTCATATATCCATGAGAAAAGCAAAGCTCATTGAGATATGGATGCTGGATGGTAATCAGAGGTAACACAATCTCTCAGTGTCTTTTTATTTTTTTTTGAAAGAGAGAGAGAGAGTTCACAGAGGAATAGTGAGAGGGAGTAGCAGACTCCCTGCTGAGCAGAGAGCCTGATGGCAGGGACTCAATCTCAGGACCCCAGATCATGACCCCAGCGGAAGGCAGACACTTAACCAACTGAGCCACCCAGGCGCTCCAATCTCTCAGTGTCTTGCTCACACATGTGCACCTGAATGCAGATCTGTAGCTTCAGAAGATTTCAAATTAGCACATTTTATGGACCTTCAGATTCACTCAAAAATAACCTAATCCTCAAATACCAAATTTGGGAATGTGTGTGACGCTGCTTGGGCTGCCGTAACAAAATACTGCAGACTGGGTGGTGTGAACAACAGAAATTTATTTTCTCACAGTTTGAAGGTTCAAAGTCTGAAACCAAGGTGACAGTATGGTCAGTTTCTGGTGAGGTTTCTCTTCTTGGCTTGCGAACAGCTACCTTCTCACTGTGTTCTCACATGGTATCTTCCTGTATATATGGAGAAGAGAGAGAGAGGACTCTCTGGTGTCTCTCCTGATATGTACACTAATCCTGTTGGATCAGGGTTCATTCTTATGACCTCATTTAATCTTAATTACTTCCTTAGAAACCCAATTACAAATGCAGCCACACTGGGGACTAGGGCTTCAACATATGAATTTTGGGAGGGCACAAACATTCATCCATAAAGGAAGATAAGGATTTCCCATATTCTGTGTTTTTAACTTTGAAGCATAAGCATTGTTTTTGTTAGAACACCAATGGAGACATCATTGCTATGTCTAATACACTCTAACAAGAGGATATATTCTAATTTATTTGAACATTTTATCTCCCTACAGTTAAGCATTAATAAATTATAATGTTTTTATCCTTATAAATATTAATGTAATGAAAATGTATGCCTAAAATTTTTCCAGTATATATTATTATTTCCTCAGAATTCCAAGAAGTTAAATTAGTGAGGCAAGGATGTGAACCTATTAAGGGTATTGATACAGATTGGGTGGGTAATCTAATTTTAAAAGTGAGAAATCTACCTTCTGTTTTTAGAACCAGAAGGAGAATATTGCCTTTGGGGGGGGGGTGGAGGAATTTAATGCATTGTAATAAAGGGCAAGGTTTGAATGGGAATGAATGAGGACACTGGCTGCCTGGGTGTAGCTGAAAGAGTGGTTGAAAGTATTAAAGAAAAGCATTTACTTCTTAGTGGACTTACCTATGGTTCTAGGAATGTCAAGTATATGAGCCAGACTCATGGCAGGTAAGAAATGGCAAATGATCATTAGTAACTTGAAAAGATCTTGATGAGGGTATATTTATAAAGGATTAAGAAGGGTTTAAGGAAACCAGCAAAAACTAATACAGGAGCACCCCAGTATTACTAACAGTTGGGAGCTATGAATGGGCAATGTGAAGAACCCATTCCTAGAACCAGAGAGTAGCTACATAGACAAGAATGTGGAACTAGAGTGAAAATGGGTAGTATATACTTAGCATTTATAGGTGTACTTCAAAATCTTCAATCAAGTACTTCCTTTTGTTCTTTAGGTCCCCATTGGAGGGTTGCTTCTTGGTGAATCCATTATCATTCTAGTGGCATCATGTAACAAATCTTCTCTTGTTATATTACTAATGAATTTGGAACAACTGAGATCACTACATTGTTTTGTTTTATTTTTCCTCCTGTATTCCTCAGAAGTTCATACACTAAACAATCCAATGTCAGTCTTTGTTCCCTTTGTTTTGTTTTCCCAGCAATGGCCTTATTCCTGGAGTTGCTGTTCCTGGCTCTTGTGTTGCTTCCATTCTTTCCTGCAAATGGACGGGTATGATGGAGGTTGGAAATATCTTCAGAACAACTGAAGCAACTTATAAACAGAAATCTATTAGATAAATTTTCAAAAGTGAAAAGGAGTAGAGAGTCTGGTACATCACAAAGTACTCATTGGTTGCTCAAGTAGTTAACACAGTTAAGTCTAAGGCTGTGGTGACCAGTATTGTAGCCTCTAGCCACATGAGGGTATTGAACACTGGAGATACAGATGGTCAGAATTGAGATCTGCGTAATTACATAGCAGAATTCAAGACTTAGTAAAAAAGGAAGGTAAAATATTTCATTAATAATTTTAATATTGATTGCATGATGAAAACATAGTATTTTGAAACAATTAGATAAATAGGTATATTATAAATATCAATTTAATCTGTTTATTTTTTCTTTTTCAAAGTGGCCCCCCAGAAATTAAAATTACCTTTCATGCTATCATTATATTTCTATTGACAGCAATGGTCTACAGGTTTAAAAGCTAATGAAACTCACCCTGTCCAAAGATCTTTACTGATTCCCTTATATTTAATTCATTACAATGTGATCCTCACAGAAAATTAGCAATATATCTATATAATCGCAAATTAGCAAAACTTCTTCACATACATCACCACATTTATTTTCATAGTCAATGTGTAAGAATAATAATACCTATTTTTTAAGTTAAAAAAGAAACTTTAGTAAAGAGATTAAGTATTTGGATTTTTTCATGGTCTTACAATTAATATATAAAGAATAAGATGCTCTAATTATTTCTAATATGCTGCTTTACTTTAATAATCCTAAGAACAGGATCAATGATTCTCTTAAATGTTTGGTGGGTAGGTGTCTATATAAGGTGTCTATCTTCTGATCAGAAAAACTCTGAATGTGAAGTTTGGTCATTGCTGTCTATTTCCACATTCTCCTTTAACTCTGAGCATACAAGAATAGCTAGGACTCCACAGATCAGAGTTCAGGCAATAGGTCAAAACTCATGTGGCATTCAGAAATATAGTCATTATGTTACCATAATTAATTTTCAATCTGAAGACAATTTATTTATCACCTGGGTCTTATTCAAAAAGTTTGTTGCCTTCCCAATCTCTTTCCTAAAGATTTTTTTAAATTTTTATTTATTTATTTGAGAGAGAGAGCAAGAGAGAGAGAGAGAGAGAGCACCAGCGGGGGGAGGGAGGCAGAGGGAGAAGCAGACTCCCCACTGATCAGGGAGCCCAATTGCAAGGGAGATCAATCTTAGGACCCTGGGATCATTACCTGAGACAAAGGCAGACACTTAACCAACTGAGCCATGCAGGAGCCCCCTAAAGATTTTTTTTCATGGTCCTTTCCAATCCCCAGTTATCTCTCTGGTCCATCTCCTGGTCTTCATTATAAAATTATTTAAAAGAGAGCTATATTTTGCTCTTTTGCACTGCTAAATGTTTGCTGATCAGATTTTCTACATACCTTCTGCCTAGTATGTTTTTTTCTGCACCTTCTCAATAGAAAACACTATTCATCCTTTATAACCTCAATCCAGACCATCTTTTGCAAAGCTTTCCTAACCTGAATAAGAATTGATCCCTTGTTTTTTATACATCTAGCAGAATCCACCTATCTTCAGTTATCATGTGGTATTGTTATTATTCATGTCATATAGTTTACCGAAATAAATTTATTTTTTAAGATTTGATTTAATCATTGAGAGAGAGAGAGAGACGGAGTGACAGTGCACAAACAGGGAGGGGTAAAAGAAGAGGGAGAAAGAATCGAAATAAATTCTTGAAGTATAGATAGATACCTTTTTAGATCCATTTTATGCTCAACACTCTTCATATTCCCTGTCACCTAATAAAAGCTTTCTTGAAACTCATTAAAAAACAGCAAAGACATGTCTTCAGTAGGATTTGTATCTACAAAAGATAGGATAAGAAGGAGGAAATAATTATTTCTTTCTCAGGGACCAAATTTTGATGTGTTTTGAAATGAAATTCTACGAAGCAGGTTTTTGAGAGTCAATAGGAAATATCCAAGGATGTTATTTTATTTCACATGTGCATCCTTTCTAGCTTAGGCATTAGTAGCTGGGAATGTACCAAATCTGTGAGTACAATGAAATTCACTTAAAAAAAAAAAAAAGAAAGGAAGAAAAGAAAAGAAATTCATTATTGGTTCCTGTCCTTAGGAGCATAAAGCAAGTAGGAGAATGGATGCATAAATTAATAATGGCAATAAATATGGTTAAACCTAAGTTTGCACTATTTGGAGGGCTTTGAGCAACCTCAGTATTGGGAGAAGAGAGAATAACTTACTCCAATGTGTCAGATAAAATCAACAAAGAGTCCTGTCTATTTAGACTTAGATTTTAAACTCTTGGTCATGTTCATACAACATAACACTCATGTGTAATTTGAAGTCATCAAATATCTCAGACCTTGTGAGAACAATTCACACACCCCACTCTACCTCCAGGGTAGACATCTCCCCCCTGCCACACACACAATGATAAAATATACCAAAAATTTCAGCAGCTGATTTAATACTTTATTCTGTTACTAAAAAGGAACAGAGTCAGCAATGGCCCATTAACTGGATGATTTTGTTCCCTCTAAATGGCCTTGGAAATTTTTTAATATTGCAAAAGTACCTTTTGAGTGATGTCATGAAATCAGCTCATATAATAAAATAGATCATAATGTCTCTCATAATAGGAAGAATAATTTTATTAGCACTGAAAGCACTTTGAACCTGAACATCCCTTCCCTAGATACATTTTAAATACATTATTTCTCTAAATACAGACCATATCAGGTCAAACTTTCCTTAAAGTCTAGGATGAATTTTGAGGTCTACTCTCATCCCACCAGCTGCAGCCTAATCAAATGTGAATGAATATGTCTTAATGTTTCTATTGTGTACCTTTATGGTTATAAAATATTATCACTCATATGGCTAGAAAAGGCACAGTAAGAATTCCCTTGAAACTAGAAATTGGCATCTGTGGCCTCAGAGGAGATTTTAATTTGTCATGCCATGAATTTCATCCTCCTTCTCAAAGCTTCAAATTACTTTTTTCCTATCTGTCATAGCTTTGGCTCAGGTTCATTGGCAATGCTTAACAACTAATATTGATTTGAACTGGATGCTCTTTAAAATGATCTTTGTTCCCTCGACCGTTTATTCACTCTTAAATGCAATTTTAACAAATGTTAAGAAGATAACCCTAATTTTATCTCCCTTTAGGATCCATCCTTTACTGCTTTGCTAACCACTCAAAACCAAGTCCAAAAAGAGATTGTAAATAAACACAATGAACTAAGGAGATCAGTCTCTCCACCTGCCAGCAACATGCTACAGATGGTAAGAGGTAGTGATAAAGGCTAATGGTGTGAATCAGCAGTGATAAGAGCAGGGAGCTGGTAACTGGCATCTCTTAAGAACTTTGTTTTGCTTCCATTCTGCTATTTCATTTGAGCTGTATTATGGGCAGGGCAAAAATTAATTTTCCTTTATAATGGTTAAATAATCTAGCAAGGGTTTGGGGCTATTAAGTCGGGAAGGCAAAATTAGAAGCCAAATCTTCAGACATCAAATGTGAAGCCATTGCACTTTTTGTTCGCTGTCTGCCCTAGTCTAAAATAAAGGAGTCCACTTTCCTTCAAAATCAGTGCCATTTAGGGTTAATAATAGTTCACTTTCCAAGACACAATCCATAAATGCTAGATATCTCCCATTTGAGTGCAGTGGGCTACAAGTGGAACTGGGAATAAACTAGGCTAGTTTATTACTATTGAAATATAATTTAAAGACTTCACATATTGATGAGTGCTTAGACTAGCACTATTACTAAAAAACCTAGGTGTGGCTCCTGTGTTATCATAAATTGTCAGATACTGTATTGGATATTTCTGTCAGTAGACACATCATTTATGAACTTCTCTTCATGTGGAAATTGGCACTGGAGCAGATAAACACACATACACACACACACACACACCCCTAACAAAAGATCTTATCATACCAATGACAATGAATATATCTATAGAAGTTTTAAAATAGTGCGAATCAACCTACCAATCAGATTATAAAGCATATGTTTCACTGGAGTTGAATCTTTAAGTGTATTTTTTTTTCTTGTGACATTTAGGAATGGAACCGAGAAGCAGCAGCAAATGCCCAAAAGTGGGCAAACAAGTGCACTTTAAAACACAGCGTGCCAGAGGACCGAAAAACCAGTACGTAAATGAGTATTTTTTGAATAAATGAACAAATAAAATAATATTGGAAAAATCAAATAGAATGGAACATTCTGGGATGTTTTAGAAGACTTAGTGAATAAATGTTGCTTATACTGCTCTATTTAAAATCAAGCTATCTGTAGAAGGAGAGAGAATTATTAGTATCATTTCGTGCTTGTTGACTGTTTATGTTATGCAAATAATTTCTGAACCAATACTTCATTTGTTCCTCTCAACCAGCTCATGAGTTAACACGTCATGTATCATCATTTCTCCAGCTTCAAAGATTAGGGACATAAGAGAAATGACCTAGGAGCACATCCTGAAGTTGTGTCATGTACTGGAAAGTTAACCAGGCTTATTGATTTATTTTTTAACCTTTTATTTAAATTCAATTTAATTAATATATACTATATTATTAGTTCCAGAGGTGGAATTCAGTGATTCATCAGTTGCATACAATACCCAGTGTTCATTATATCATGTGCCCTCCTTAATGTCCATCACCCAGTTACCCCATCCCCCCACCACCTTCCCTCCAGCAACCCTGAGTTTGTTTCCTAGAGTTAAGAGTCTCTTATGGTTTGCTTCCCTCTGTGTTTTCATCTTATGTTATTTTCCTTCCTTTCCCCTATGTTTATCTGTTTTGTTTCTTAAATTCCACATATGAGTGATATATATATATATATATATATATATAGGATATATAGATATATAGAATATATAGAATATATATATATAGGAATATTACTCAGCCATCAAAAAGAATGAAATCTTGCCATTTGCAATGATATGGGTGGAACTAGAGGGTATTATACTTAGTGAAATAAGCCAGTCAGAGAAAGACAGGCTTATTGATTCCTAATCCACTGCCCTTTTTCTATATTGTGTTGCTGTTTGGTGTTTAAATATCTCTTTTTTTATGTTTATAAATATACTGAATTATGTGAATAGTTCCTGAATTTTGCTGTAAAAATACTTAAACTTTTAATATCATCATGAATATTTTGTGTATGTTCACTCAGTTTTTACTTTTTGATAATAAATAGTCAAGTAGTTTGCATAGACTGTGTACCTATAAAGCATAGAATAATATATCACATGCAAAAAACTATAAAAGTTTCAAGAATTATAAAAATTATGAGAGAAAACTTTTATGCATAAACTTTACATAAAATATTTATTTACATTATCAAGCATGAAAGGCAATTGAAAGTAGTGAATTGAGTAGTACTCAATTTGAAAGTAGTGAATAATTACCTATAATTTCAGTAGAATTATTATTTATATTGTTGATATTAACATTATAATGAAATTATGAAGAGAGATAACTGCATTCAGTAGAAGATTAAAACAAATGGTCTTAAGATCAAATTATGTTAGATTTTGAGTTTCTTTCCTTCCATATTAAAGAAGATATCCAAGAATATTTTATACTCTCCTGAAACAGCATGTAGACATAATATTTCAAGCCAGCAAAATGCAAATATTATGTGAGAGCTGAAAAGATAGGCAAATGTTTCTGGGCTGCAAGACATTTATTAATGTTTTTATTTTTTTATTATTTTTTATGTTTTATTCTCATTTTGTAATTAATTTTATTGTAACAACAATGCTTTTTTAAAAATTCTATTGTAGTAAGAATACTTAACATGAGACCTACACTCTTGACCAATTTTTAAATATATTATACAATATTGTTGACTACATGTACATGTTGTATAGCAGATATCTAGAACTTACTCACCTTGCTTACCTGAAATTCATTGATTAGTAAGTCCCCATTTCTCCTTTCCCTCATCCCCAGCTGCCACCATTGCACTCTTTGATTCTGTGAATTTGATTCTTTTAGATATTTCACATAAATGGACTCGTTTAGTAGTCTTTCTGTGACTGGTATATTTTGCTTAGCATCACATTCTCAAGTTTCACCCATGTTATCACATGTTGCAAAACTTCCTTCTTTTTTTAAAGATGAATGATATTCATTATATATATATGTCATCTTGTCATCCGTTCACCTGTCCATGGACATTTAGGTTGTTTCCAAATGTTGCCTATTATGACTAGTGCTGCAACGAACATGAGTGTACTAATATCTCTTCAAGATGCTGATTTCAATTCTTTTGGATAAATACTCAGAAGTGTTATTGCTGGATCATTTTGTAGCTCTACTTTCAATTTTTTTGAGGAACCTCCATACTGTTTTCCACAGCAGCTACACTATTTTTTCATTCTCACCAGCAGTGTACATGATTCCGATTTCTCTACATCCTCACCATTACTTGTTGTCTTTTTTTTTTCTTTTTGGTAATAGACATCAAAACAGATGTAAGGTGATATCTCATTGTGATTTTAATGTACATTTCCCTGATGATTAGTAATGTCGAGCTCCTTTTCACATACCTGTTGGTCATCTGTATGTCTTCTTTGGAAAAATGCCTGTTCAAATCTTCTGCCCATTTTTTGAGCAGAAGAGATGAACAGGTATTTTTACAAAGAAGACCTACAGGTGGCCAGCACTGACATGAAAAGATGTTCAAAATCACTCATCATCAGGGAAATGCAAATCAAAACTACAATGAGGTATCACCTCACACTTATCAGCATGGCTAAAATTAAAAAAAAAAAAAAAACAATAAACAACAACTGTTGGAGAGGATATGGAGAAAAAGGAACCCTCATGCACTGTTCGTGGGAGTGCAAACTGATGCTACCACTGTGGAAGACAGTACGGAGGTCCTTGAAAAGTTAAAAATAGAACTATCTTGCGATCCAGTAATTATGCTACTGGCTGTTAACCCCAAAACTACAAAAACACTAATTCAAAGGGATACAGACACCCCTATATTTACAACAGCATTATTTATAATAGCCAAATTATGGAAGCAGCGCAAGTGTCCACTGATAAATGAATGGATAGAGATATGTATACACATATGCATATATATATATATATATATATATATATATGATGCAATATTATTCAGCCATAAAAAAGGAAATTTTGTCATTTGGAACAACATGGATGGAGCTAGAGAGTATAAGGCTAGGTAAAATAAGTCAGAGAAAAACAAATATTATATGATTTCACTCATATGTGGAATTTGAGAAACAAAACAACTGAGAGAAAAGAAAGAGAGAGAGACAAACCAAGAAAATTACTCAACATAGAGAACAAACTGATGGTTACCAGAGGGGTGGTGGGTGGGAGGGTGGGTGAAATAGGTGATGGGGATTAAGGAGTGCACTTGTGATGAGCACAGAGTGATATATAAAATTGTTGAATAACTATATTGTACACCTGAAACTAATATAACACTGTATGTTAACTGTATTGGAATTAATAAAATAAAATAAAATAAATTAAAATGCTAAATAAAAAGTGGTAAATAAAAAATATTCAGAAAGGGCGCCTGGGTGGCTCAGTTGGTTAAGCAACTGCCTTCGGCTCAGGTCATGGTCCTGGAGTCTCTGGGTCGAGTCCCGCATCGGGCTCCCTGCTCGTCAGGGAGTCTGCTTCTCCCTCTGACCCTCCCCCCTCTCATGTGCTCTCTCTCATTCTCTCTCTCTCAAATAAATAAATAAAATCTTTAAAAAAAAATATTCAAAAAAAACAAAACAAAACCAAATCTGCCCATTTTTAAATAGGGATAATTTTTGCTATTGGGTTGTATGAGTTCTTTATATACTTTGAAAATTAACTCCTTATCAATTATAAGCTATGCAAATGTTTTCACCTATTCCATAAGTTGCCTTTTCACTTTGTTGATTGTTTCTTTTGTTGTGGAGAGACTTTTTAGCTTTATTCAGTCCCACTTACTTATTTTTGCTTTTGTTGCTTATACCTTTAGTGTCCTATCCAGGAAAGAATTGCTAAAACCAATGTCAAGAGGTTTTTCTGTATGTTTTCTTCTAGGAAGTTGTCGGTTTCAGGTCTTATGTTTAAATCTTTAATCTGTTTTGAGTTAATTTTTGTGAGTGTTTTAAGAAGGGGTCTAAATTAACTCTTCTCCGTGTGGCTGTGCAATTTTCTCATCGCCACTCTTTGAAGAGAGTATTTTTTGCCCATTGAGAAGAATTAATATTGTTAAAATGTCCATGTGACCCAAAGCCATTTATATACCCATTGGTCAGTTGTACATCTTCCTTGGAGAAATGTCTATTAAAGTTCATTGTGATCAAAAAAGATCTATAGTCAATTCCTCAGGCAGCCCCCTGAAAAAGATAGATCTTTGGGCATTTCATCTAACTCTTTCAGCTGAAACTTGGGTTTTTTATCTGTTGTTCACTCTGTGCTGAACTAGGAAGGGAAGCTATGGCAACTATGAACCCAAATCTCTATCTATTCTCATTTGCCCCAGGCAGCTAGATTATGCTGGATCTTATTAGCATTCTCAGAGAGGAAAGTCAGAAGCCAGTCTTTGGGGCAGCCTCTGGAAAATTTGTGGCATTTGATACCCAGACCAAATCTGTCCCACTCCAGGGAGAAATAGGCAGCAGTGGTGTTAGTCAGCTTGCTCTGTGCTGAGCTGGGGAGAAGAGCCATGGCATCTATCAATCCAAACCACCATCTCTGCTGTCCTCCAGGGGGCAACACTGCGAAAAACTTCAGAGCTCCAAGACTGGCAAGACAGAAGTCAGTTCTTTAGGGACCCCTGGAGAAATTGGAGCGTTGGACACACTGATCAATTCTTTGCTTCCCCAGGAGGAAGCTGAGAACTAAGATTTTTCATTTGCTTGCTCTGTGCTGAGCCAAGGGGAGGAGATATGGTATCTACCAGCTCAAGCCGCCATCTCCATTCTCCTACAGATGGCTAGCCTGTGCCTGACTGTCAGAGCTCCAAGACTACCAAGACAGAAGCCAGCCATCTGGGGAGTTTCCATAGGGAAGGTTGGGATGCTGCCACACAAGAACCAACTCCTTCCTTCCTCTGGGAGAAGTTGGGGGCTAGGGGGCCTTTTCCTGATCATATGGCAGGCACTGTGCTGAGGGTAAGCATTCTAGCAAGAGGGTGTCCCAGTTTCACTACAGACTTCAGTGAGTTGGGGTTCATATTCTCCCAGGGTCTAGGAGCCTTTCACTTAGTTTTGGATTTCCCACCAAGGCAATTTTTTGGAAATTGTTGCTGGATCAGTGTGTTTGTTAAGGGAAAGAGAGTCCAAGGCTCCCTACTCCACCATCTTGCTGATGTCACCTTCGGCAAGGCTCTTCTTGCCTAATTCTAAAGGAGGAAGATTTGGCCTTATGATATTCTGATTTAGTGATTAAGAGAGAATCCAAAAGCTTTGAAATCTGCCATCCCTCCTGATGTCAGTTGCCTGTTAATTGGGGCTCTTATAGACTGCCTGTAGAACTCTTTTTCCAAGTTCACACAAAATCATAATCATAAACATTTAGACAGGGTCCAATATGTGAAAACTCTCTGGTGAGGGTGGACAAGAGGAAGAGAAAAAGAATAAAAGTTGGTCACTGCCTTTTGCAAATTTACAGTACAAAGCTGAGAGCATAGGAGTCATTACAATGTGAAGAATTTAGCTTCAAAAAGAATGCATCTCTGAAACTCCAGAGAATTTTTGAATAATAATGTCTTCTTAACCTATTCAAAGTTTTGCATGTTGATGCCGACCTCCATGTCCTAGACTGATCTTTTTTTTTTTTTTTTTTAAGATTTATTTATTTTTGCGATGCCTGGGTAGCTCATTTGGTTAAGGGTCTGCCTTCAGCTCAGGTCATGATCCCAGGGTCCTGGGATTGAATCTGGCATCTGGCTCCTGGCTCAGTGGGGAGCCTGCTTCTCCCTCTGTCTGCAGTTCCCACTGCTTGTGCTCTCTTTCCCACAAAAAAATAAATAAAATCTTTAAAAGAAAGGTTTATTTATTTTAGAGAGAGAAATAGAGTGTGAGCAGGAGGAGGGGCAGAGGGAGAGAGAGAGAATCCTCAAGCAGACTCCCTTCTGAGTGAGGGGCCTGATCCAGGGCTTGATCTCAGGACCCTGAGACCATGACCTAGCCGAAATCAAAAGTCAGCCTCTTAACCCACTAAGCAACTTTGGTGTCCCTAGGCAGATCTGTCTTCTATTCAGCTTTAGAGCTGAGAAGGACAGAAGCCCTTTTATTATGTATTAACAGTTATAAGTATAGGCACTGTGTCTGAAGGTCAGCATCCTTGTGTTCATATAGTTGATTTCTTTTTTTTTTTTATGTTATGTTAGTCACCATACAGACATCATTAGTTTTTGATGTAGTGTTCCATGATTCATTATTTGCATATAACACCCAGTGCTCATTGCAACATGTGCCCTCCTTAATACCCATCACCAGACTACCCCATCCCCTGACCCCCCTCCCCTCTGAAACCCTCAGATTGTTTCCTGGAGTCCATAGTCTCTCATGGTCCATCTCCCCCTCTGATTTTCCCTCTTTCAGTTTTCCCTTCCTTCCCCTAATGTCCTCTGTGCTATTCCTTATGTTCTACATAAGAGTGAAGCCATATAGTTGATTTCTTTTGCCATTGCATGTTTTATTGCTTCCTTAAGGATGATCCATTTCTCTTTAGGTACAAAATGTGGTGAGAATCTCTTTATGTCAAGTTACCCTGCTTCCTGGTCAGATGCAATCCAAAACTGGTATGAGGAGAGCCATAATTTTGTCTATGGTGTAGGACCTAAGAGTTCTGGTGCAGTTGTTGGACATTACACCCAGGTAAGACAAACAAATGAAAATACTTCTACCACAAATGCTCTAATATGAAAGCATCTCTAAATTATGACCAAGTCCAATGTTCAATTTGAGTAAGAGCCTGATTAGATATAATAGTCCTGGATTGGGTGGTACTTCATCTAGAGCTGTCATTTTTTCCCATCACTTGAAAAACTCTTGGTAAGGAAGCATACTCTGTACTTTTTCAAACTTAGAAATGGATAAAATAGTGAAGGTACTTTAAGATTTAATATTTTAAAATTTGTGGTTTTCTTCAATAATTCAACTAAATGTTTTCAAAAGGTACTTGGCTCTAAACTATAATAGTAACATTTTTTCAGTTTTACATTTGCTATTACTATTTTTTTCAATATTTTCCCTCTTCTTTAATGTACTCTCATATATTCCTTTTTGGAAATGTAGGTCGTTTGGTACTCTTCTTACCATGTTGGATGTGGAATTGCCTATTGCCCCAATCAAGAAAGTCTAAAATACTACTATGTTTGCCAATATTGTCCTGCGTAAGTATATACTTTAGAGTTTCATGAAATAATCCTATGTACAATTTAATATTTTTAAAATTCTTGTATAGAAAACAAACTAGAATATAAAACATTTCAGTAAAGGGAAGGAATAAATCCTTTTTTCATTTTTTAAAATTGATGCATAGTTCATACACAATGTCACCTTAGTTTTATGTGCATGACATAGTGACAGGTCTATACCTTGTGCTATGCTCACCACATGTGTAGCTATCAGCAGTCACCATACAATGCTATTATAACTATTTTTTTATTTTTTTAAAGATTTTTATTTATTTATTTGTCAGAAAGCACAAGCAGGAGGAACGGCAGGCAGAGGGAGAAGCAAGCTCCCCACTGAGCAGGGAGCCTGATGTGGGACTCAATCCCAGGGCCCCGGGATCATGACCTGAGCCAAATGCAGACATTAAACTGCATGAGGCACCCAGGCATCCCATGCTATTATAACTATTACAATACTATTGACTCTAGTCCCTATGCTGTACTTTTTATCCCCATGACTTATTTATTCCATAACTGGAAGCCTGTACCTCCCACTCCCCTTCAAATATTTTGCTCACCCCCATTGCCACCCCTCTGGCAAACATCATTTCGTTCTTGTACTTATGGTCTGTTTCTGCTTTTTATTTTTTTTATTTTGTTTTTTTAGAATCCCTATATAAGTGAAATCATATGGTATCTGTCTTTTTCTGTGTAACTTATTTTACTTAGCATAATACCATCTAGGTCATCTAGAAGGAATAAATCTTTGGAAATGCCTTTTAAGTTGAGATACATTCAACTTATCAGGGAAGAGACCAGGTTCTCAAATCCAAGTATAAAATCTGAAACTCTCTTCCCTCAGTTACAGAGTGACATCTTTTCTTTCAGTCACCTTTCCCGTCAGCTCACAGCTATTCCATGAGCCTAGGCGGTATGCATTTCTCTAGATTTGATATCATCAGTTCTCATCAACTTCACACTTTAGGAGGGTGGCAGCTTGATGGTTAAGCAAGGGATGGTAGTGGACTGGCAAGTAGGGGATGGCAGATTGCAATTTCACCTCGGCCTGCTAAAAAGTTCCTTGCCCTACTTATCTAAAAAACTACCTACATTGTTACCATCACAGATGATTCATTCTTTTGCATCTCAAAGATTTTTCAAGAGATTTTTAATGTACTTCAGAATCCAGAAAAGAACATCTTCAGTCTTTGCTTTTCAGAAGTTTTCACAAAATTTCCATAATGGATCAACCTTTAAGGTCTTGACCAGTAGCATGAAATATGTTTTTTCATCAAGGATTATGTTTAAACTTACCTACAATAAATTCCGTGGATATACTGAAGATCTAATCTGAACTTATCTGTTAATCTTACTTTCTTTTAATGTTTGAAGTTTCTTGCCACTGGAGACAGGAGGACCCCTAGAACCAAGGCTCCTATAGGATTTATTTTGAGGTTGTAGATAACCTGAGCATATGGATCTCCAGGGTGAGAAGTATGACCTCCAATGTCATTTTCCTGCAAGCACTTCTTAGGGTTTAGTAGAAAGAATTGAAAGGTCTTAGGAGAATGCATCCAAACTCACTGGCTGGCTGTAAGAGAGGAGGCTCTGGAGCCAGGCATCTGAAGTGAGAGTTTGGAGTGAAAAATGAGGGAAAGCAGGGGCGAGAAAACTTCCAGAACATGTTTGTGTCTATTTCACATTTTTCCAGGGGCTCACACATGATCAATTATATTCTGTGCGGGGAGTGAGATTCAGATGCATGACATTGTGTTTTTGGCCCACTTGGTACAATTGAGACTTTGACTCTCTTGAAAAATATTCATCAATGAGATGTAGGCTAGTTACTGTAAGACCAATATACCTTAGCGATTAGTGTTAATAAAACTGTTTTTTTAACATTCCTATTTTTGTAAATATTAAAATCTCACACACAAAGCATCTAGACATTCAAAAACCTTTTAAGCATCCCTACTCCCAAAAACATACACCAAAAACTACTTTAAATAATCATTACTTCCATCTTTTTTTTAAGGTCTTATTTATTTATTTGAGAGAGGGAGAGCACATGAGAGAGAATAAGAAGGGGTGTGGGGCGAGGGAGGGGGACAAGCAGACACCTCACTGAGCAGGGAGCCCAACATGGGGCTTGATCCCAGGACCCTGGAATCATGACCTGAGCTGAAGTCAGACACTTAACCACCTGAACCACCCAGTTGCCCCAAATCATTACCTCCATCTTGAAGCCAAAATTATCCAGGGGTTTTATCTTCCCTAGTTCATATTATAGAGATTATCACTTTTTTAGATATAAAATTATATGTAACTTTAAGCATTTCCACACTGCAACCCTTTCTCTCCCAGTAACTTGTACAGTCTCTCTAAGGAATATGTTTTATCACTAGCCAGCACCTTAGAGTACACTACTTTAGCAATTTGACCAAGTCTTTTGGGAGGGAAAGAATGTTGTCATGTTGAAATGTACTCCGAATATTTTAGACCCTATTAATCTCATTTTAATTGTTCAGGCTGTGAAATAATGGTCAAGGAAGTGAGGGCTTATGTATGTTATTTTCTTTACATTGATATCTGAGTACATTTTGGGAATTTTAGTTTGTCAGTTATTTGACATGATGAAAAACATTGACCAAATATTCAGGTGTATATGGTGATAGATGCTACCCTGGGAGCATAAACTAAACTGAAAAATGAAAAATGTTTGCCATTTTGTATTTCAAATTTCAGTGGCAATCTTCTTAGCAAGATTCATACCCCTTACCTAAAAGGCGAACCTTGTGCCAGCTGCCTTCATCACTGTGACAATGGACTATGCAGTAAGTTTGAAGTCATTAATTTGCTAGTATATATAATAGAATGATCTGGCTTTTTTTTTCCTTTGAGTATCTTTTATTTTTTAAAATTATTTATTTAAATTCAATTTAATTAACATATATTTCATTATTAGCTTCAGGGGTAGAATTTAGCAATTCATCAGTTGCATATAACACCCAGTGCTCATTGCATCAAGTGCCCTCCTTAATGCCCATCACCCGGTTACCCCATCCCCTTACCCACCTCCCCTCCAGCAACCCTCAGTTTGTTTTCTAGAGTTCAGCATCTCTTATGGTTTGCCTCCCTCTCTGTTTTCAACTTATTTTATTTTTCCTTCCTTTCCCCTATGTTCTTCTGTTTTGTTCTTTAATTCCACATGAGTGAAATCATATGATGTTTGTCTTTCTCTGACTGGCTTATCTCACTTAGCCTAATACCCTCTGGTTCCAACCATGTTGTTGTAAATGGCAAGATTTCCTTTTTTTTGTTGGCCAAGTAATGTGTGTGTGTGTGTGTGTGTGTAAATATATATATATATTTATATATATATCTTCTTTATTAGTTCATCTGTCGATGGACATCTGGACTCTTTACATATTTTGGCTATTGTGGATATTGCTGCTATAAACATTGGGGTGCATATGCCCCATTAAATCACTATGTTTGTACCCTTTGGATAAATACCTAGCAGTGTAATTGTTAGGTCATAGGGTAGCTCTCTTTTTAACTTTTTGAGGAATCTTCATATTGTTTTCCAGAGTGGCTGCACCAGTTTGCATTCCTACCAAAAGTGTAAGAAGGTTCCCTTTTCTCTGCATCCTCACCAACATCTGCTGTTTCCTGTGTTGTTCATTCTAGCCATTCTGACCTGTGTGAGGTGGTATCTCATTGTAGTTTTGATTTGTATTTCCCTGATGCCAAGTGATATGAAACATTTTTTCATATGTCTGTTGACCATTTCTATGTCTTCTTTTTTTTTTTTTTTAAAGATTTTATTTGTTTGACAGAGAGAGACACAGTGAGAGAGGGAACAAAAGCAGGCAGAGTGGGAGAGGGAGAAACAGGCTTCCCGCTAAGCAGGGAGCCCGATGCGGGGCTTGATCCCAGGACCCTGGGATCATGACCTGAGCTGAAGGCAGACGCTTATCTTTGGAGAAATGTCTGTTCATGTGTTCTGCCCATTTCTTGACTGGATTTTTTGGTTTTGAGGTGTTGAGTTTTATAAGTTTTATAAATTTTGATACTAGCCCTTTACCTGATAAGACATTTGCAAATATCTTCTCCCATTCCGTAGGTTACCTTTTGGTTTTGTTGACTGTTTCCTTTGCTGTGCAAAAGCTTTTGATCTTGATGAAGTCCGAATATTTCATTTTTGCTTTTGTTTCTTTTGGCCTTGGAGATGTGTTTAGCAGGAAGTTGCTGTGGCCAAGGTCGAAGAGATTGTTGCCCATGTTCTCCTCTAGGATTTTGATGGATTACTGTCTCACATTGAGGTCTTTCATCCATTTTGAGTTTATTTTTGTGTATATGGTAGAAGAGTAGATGCTTTGTGTGTGAGATTTTAATATTTACAAAAATGGTAGAAGAGTTTCATTCTTCTGCATGTGGATATCAAATTTTGTGTGTATGGTAGAAGAGCTAGATGCTTTGTGTGTGAGATTTTAATATTTACAAAAATGGTAGAAGAGTTTCATTCTTCTGCATGTGGATATCAAATTTTCCCAACATCATTTTTTGAAGAGACTGTCTTTTTTCCATTGGATATTCTTTTCTGCTTTGTCAAAGATTAGTTGACCATAGAGTTGAGGGTCCATTTCTGGGGTCTCTATTCTGTCCCACTGATCTATATGTCTGTTTTTGTGCCAGTACCATACTCTCTTGAAGATTACAGCTTTGTAATAGAGCTTGAAGTTTGGCACTGTGATGCCACCAGTTTTGCTTTTATTTTTCAACATTTCTTTGGCTATTCGGGGGTCTTTTCTGGCTCCATACAAATTTTAGGATTATTTGTTCCAGCTCTGTGAACAATGTTGATTGGCATTTTGATAGGGATTGCATTGAAATTGTAGATTGCTTTGGGTAGTATAGATATTTTAACAATATTTGTTCTTCCAATCTATGTGCATGGAATGTTTTTCCATGTTTTTGTGTCTTCCTCAATTTCTTTCATAAGTGTTCTATAGTTTTCAGAGTACAGAGATTTTCTCTTTTTGGTTAGGTTTATTCCTAGATGTCTTATGGTTTTTTGGTCCAATTGTAAATGGGATGAATTCCTTGATTTCTCTTTCTTCTGCCTCATTGTTAGTGTTTAGAAATAGGGCTGATTTCTGCACACTGATTTTATATCTTGCCACTTTGCTGAATTCCTGAATCAGTTCTAACAATTTTTTGGTGGAGTCTTTTGGGTTTTCTACATAGAGCATCGTCTGAAGAACATGGATGTAAAATTCTCACCAAGGCACTAGCTAATAGCATCCAACAGTACATTAAAAGGATTATTCACCATGACCAGGTGGGATTTATTCCGTGGCTGCAAGGGTGGTTCAACATCTACACATCAATCAATGTGATACACCACATTAATGAAAGATAGGTTAAAAACTATATGATCCTCTCAGTAGATGCAGAAAAAGCATTTGACAAAATACAGCATCATTTCTTGATAAAAACTCTCTGCAGTGTAAGGTAGAGGGAACATGCTTCAATATCATAAAAGCCATAGACTCCTTTTTTTTTTTTTAAGAATTAAGAAATCTCCTGATTGCAACCTACTTAAGCAATGCCTTCATGCAAAAGACAAAAATAAAAGTATTCAATAGAGTGTGTTTAATAAAAAATTTTACACAGTATCTATGTATTATTTGCAATGAAAACCTCATTACCATGTGTAACCTAAAGAAACATCTACCATCAATGTATATGGACTTGTTACATATTGGCATATATAAAAATGTGTCTGTGGAAATAATTCATTGTAATTAAATATTTTTCCTATCGAAGTTAATGCAATTACATCAAAAGTGGCATTTTATAAAGAGAAAATATGTACAAAATATAAAGATGTGAGAACACAAACACAGTTCAGTTCAGACACCAAACAATCTTTATATATCAATGAGTTCATCATACTAAATTCTTCATTTTCCCCATAGTATAGAATAATCAAGTTTAATTTAATAACCACTCACACTTGTGTTTGCTAGTAATTTTTACATACTTCTAAAATGTCAATCAAATCGGCATATAACATTATTAGCTCACAGAAGTCTCAAAATATTTTAGCAAAAGGATTAAATTTAGTGTCATATAATATCTCATGTTTGGTATTGTTATGGATATAAATACAAAGAGTTGGTACTTTTGTTTAGTTGGGATATGTTATTAAAATTATTATGAACAAAACAGCTAACCACTAACAGAAATTTTTACCTTTCCAAATGCATTCAACAGATTGAACTGTACCATTCTTTCTGAGTGAATTGTATAGCTCTAATTCAGAATATTGAATGATATCAAAGCTATACAACCATTAAAGAAGAAAATATTTTCTCCTCTGCTGAATACTATTTGTTAAGGGATTTGGAATTTATCCTGTTAGCAATAAGCAACCAATTGAAAGATTTTTACAGAGAAGAGTGATGAGATCAGAATTGTTTTATAAAGATCTGGCAGTAGTATGGAGAAACAAGTGGATGAAAGCCAGCTTGGAGACTGTTGAAAACATGGGTTTGAAAAACAAATGAATGTTTTTACTGCATTCTGACAAAATGAATGAAGAGAAATGGACAGTAATGAGCAATAGGTAGGAAGTAGTAAAACCAGTGTTTGTTACTTGCACTTGGTAAATACTGATAAAAAGTAGAGAGCAATGAGTTCATGTTGATTCCCAGTTCCTGATTTGAATTATTTAGTAGTTAGGAGTTTAATTTCTCTTATCCCAGGGGAATTGAGTTGGGAGTTGGGGAGTGACTCCAAAGAAATGCCACACTTGGAGGTAAAATGATGAACTTAGTTTGAGAGTTACTCAGTTTGTAGCCACTGAGGAACTTCAAAGTAGAAATGTCCAATAATCATAGTGAAATTCCTTCTAGTTTTTACATCCACATCTTCTCATAATGATTTCTTACTCTTGAAAGAAAGACTAGTGGCACTAGAATCTGGATAGAGAAATAGTGTCCAATATAAATTTTTTCAATAACGGAAATGTTCAATATTTGCACTGTCATGTAAAGTAGCTCCTAGATAGACTGGTTATTGAGCATTTGGAATGTAACAAGTATCACCAATGACCTGAAAATTTATTTTTTAATGTTATGTAATTTTAATTAATTTAAATTTAATTTAAACAACCACATGGCTAGAGGCTAAAATTTGGACACTAATTGTAGAGAGACTCATTTAAGCTTATTTTATTTTCTGAGGGAAGAAAATAAGTCAATTCATTTTAGAAACATTCCAAAAAGCTCAAATTTTAAAAGAAGTGATGGATTAATGTGTCCCTTTGTATCATAATGTGATACCAACTTCTTTGCTCAATTGTCTTCTCCCCACTTACATTGAATTTATTGTTTGCACTGCTGCTATGGAGGAAAACAATAATGAACTGACTAATTTCTTTGTTTTTATTCCAGCCAATACTTGTGAATATGAAGATGCTTATTCTAACTGTAATGCTTTGAAGAAAAGCTATACCTGTAGCCATGATTTCGTCAAGACAAATTGCAAAGCTTCCTGTGAATGTGAAGACAAAATTTATTAAATGCCCAATACAGACTGAGCAGGGCTAAGTGAAGGAGGACCACATCATCTACTTATTTTTGACATTAACACAGATGTTGTAAGCATGTTAGCTATAAATTTTATTGCAAATAATGAGTCTTTTTCTCTTGGATCTACTTTTTATTTTACAGAAATCTCTTTCATACAAAGGATTAAAAAATAACATAATCTATGATTATCTGTTGCTCATGTAAAAATCATGAGCAATAAGGAAATTCTGACAAAGCATTATGGACCAGAAGAGACTAAGAAAACATGAGAATAAATGGAATGTGGTCTCCTGTGTCAGATCTTTGAACACAAAAAGGTCATTAGTGGAAAAAGTGGTGAAATCTGAATAGAATCTGAATTGTTTTTGATAGTAACATCCATTCTTAGTCTTGACAAATGTATCAGAATAATGCAAGATGATAACATTAGGGGAAACTAAAGCTGGGTGAAGGGTATATGGGAATTCTCTGTACTATCTTAGCAAAATTTCTGTAAATCTAAAAATACTTTCAAATAAAAGATGCATTTTAAAAAACAACAACACCATCTTTTTTTTTTCTTGGCTCTATAATGTTTGGAAAATTTTTCTCCTGATTCTCTGGTTATTCTTTCTCAGCCACTTTCCCACCCAGTGTCAATTCCTCTATTCCATTGCTAAATGTTTGATTTTATCTTTTTCATGGACCTTTCAGATATATCAATTACTGGACTGTCATATTAGTCTCACATCCTTATCCAGTGTCAAGATTCACAAATTATTTCAAGGACAAGTATAGTCATGGGGTAAAGGGAAAGCAAGGAGAGGTTCAAGACCACCAATGCAGCTCCTGGATGCTATTTTTGCAGTACATTTCTTAACATCTAAAGAGAAAGACTTCTTACTCAGTCTACTTTCAAAACCTTTCTGTAGACTTCTTAAGTACTTAGATAATATTCATACTCTTAAACTGATCTGCAAGAAGTTGAATGATTTTTTATACTCTCCTTTCTAATCTCACTTCATTCCACTTTCTTTTATTTCTTATGCTCCAATAATGATCAGTGATTTTATTAAATTCTCTCAAGTTCCTCAAGATTTTCCTTATCTAAGGGCATTTGTGTTTGCTATTAGTTCTGTCTGGAAGAGTCATCCTTCTATTATTTGCTAGAATAACTCCTTCATATTAAATGCCATTTTATCCAAGAGATTCCTTTGAGCATTTAATATGAAGAACTCCCCCCATTCTCTCACAACTCCTTTTATTTTCTTTCATAATAATCTTCACAATGTAATGCAATTCATTCCTGCATTCAACAAATATTTATTGAAAAATGTCTCAGGTATTTAATTAGGGACTTTGAAATAGGGTGATTAACAAGAGAGACCAAGTTCTGAACTTCATGGAGTTCACACTTTCATAGGGGAAATAGGAAGGAAGTTATTTTGCAAATAAATACTTAAGATAATATTGGAAGCGGTAAGTGCTATGAACTAAAATGGGCAACAGAATAGAGAACAGTGAAGATAGACTGGGAAAATGTTAATAGGATTGTCAAGTACATCCTCTCTAAGGATGGATTAGAATCACAATAGAAGTTAAGAGAAAAATGGATAAGATGATTTGATGGAGAAAACAGAATAGTGAGTACAAAGCAGTTGAGGTAGGAATAAATTTGACATATTTGAGGAAAAGCAAGAAACATAGAATGACTGGAGCAGAATGAGCAAGGTAAAGATCATTTTGAAAGCAGGCCAGAGAGTCAGGCAGAAACTTAGTCACATGGTGTGCTCTAGGGCACATAAAGAATTGGGATATTGTTATAAGTAGGATAACAAGCCATGAGAGTATATTAAAGAAGATTGTGATATGATGAGGTATAAATTGTAAGAGAACAAGAGTGCAAGTAAGAAACCAGTTAAAAGACTATTGACTAGAAGAGAGATTGAGTTAAATTTCACTAGATTATGGATGGATGTGCCTTAAATATACAAAGCATATTGTTCAATTTCAGGATAATATTTGTTTATGTCATGACAGAAAACAGGACAACTATTTCCCAGCTAAGGGTAGCATTAACTTATGCCATAGCCAGATAAAGATATCACAAGAAAAGGAAACTAGACTATTATTTCTCATGAACATAGATGCAACACATAAAAAGATTATACACCATGACAAAGTGAGGTTACTGCAGGAATTAAATGCTTCAATATTCAAAAATCAATTAATGTCATATACCATATCAAAATAAAGATATCATGTGATCATCACAAAAGATACCAAAAAAAAAAAAAATGCACTTGACAAAATTCAACACCTGCAATGAAAACAATTTTCAGAAAACTAGGAATAGAAAGTAACTTCTTCATCTTAATAAGAAATATTTTACAAAATTCTCCAGCTAACCTTTTACTTAGTAGTGAATGAATGTTTTCTCTTTATGTTATCAGGGAAAACAGTATTATAGTATTTTTCCAATCTGGAATCCCCTCTCAGGAATAAAGCAAAACTAACAGTTTGCACCACTTTGTTCACATTTTAAGTGTACTGCCAATGAAGTAAAAAAAAAAAAAAAAAAAAAGGAAGAAGAAAATAAAAACGTTTAGGGTGGAAAAGGGCACTGGGTAAGTATTCAGAGACCTAGATTCCAATCTTGCTCCCCACTGGACTGCCTGCGTGTAACCTTGGGGGACCATGGCAGAGTAGGAGGAGCCTAAGCTTGGCTTATCCTACAGAAACAACTAAATAACACTCCCATCAGTGTAAATAACCCAGAAAATGATCCAAAGATTGGCAGAACAAACTCCACAACTAAAGAAGAAGCCATATGAAAGAAGGCAAGACGTGTGAAGACATGGTTTGGGAATGAAATGGGTCATGGCTGGCCACAATGAAGAGGAAGCTGGTGGCATGAAGAAAGGCAAAAAACAGATTTCACACTGGGGAGGCCATGAAAAGGGAGGACAAATCTCCATAATATTTGCCTTTGAAATCAAGAGGGGCTGAATTTCATGAACTCTTACAACCAGGAAGACTTAAAGTGTGGAATTTTAAAAATCACTGGGTTCTGGCTCTGGTAGAGTCTGGAGGTAAGAAGCTGAGTCTTTGGCCTTAAACAGACAGCACAACAAACAGGCCACACAGGTACTGCATGGAACTAGCAGTTTTGCTGGACCTCAGTTCCCACTACAGTGCGGGCAAGTCTCTTTTCACAAGCAAACCACTGCACACCTTGTTAAAACACACCTCACCCCTTCTGGGGACAAAACACTGCCATAATAGCCAAAGAGGATCTCTGCAGACAACTGGACTGAAGGAAAAAGGACCCAAGACTCAACAGCAGAACACATGCAACACATATAGGAGACACTCCCTGAGGCACCAGACCTTGGGGGATAGGGGAAACTGCAATGCAGGGATCTCTCCTTCATAAGGCTATTATTGTTAAGAGCAAGAGAAGTAGCTAACTTTCCTAACACAGAGAAACAGATAGAGAGAGTTAGACAAATGAGGAGACACAGAAATAAATCCCAAATGAATGGAACATGACCAAACCACAGCAAGAAACCTAAGCAAAACAGATATAAATAATATGCCTGATAGAGAATTTAAAGTAATAATCATAAAAATACTCATTAGGCTTGAGAAAAGAGTAGAAGGCATCAGTGAGATCCTTAACACAGAGATAAAAAAGAACCAATCAGAGATCAAGAACACAATAAATGAAATTAAAAGTATACATGATGGAAAAAATAACAGGCTAAATGAAGCAGATGAACAAATTAATGAACTGAAAGACAGAGTAGTGGAAAGCAACCAAGACAGGCAAAGGAGAGTAAAGAAAATTATACAAATTGAGATTAGTCTTAGAGAACTCTGCAACTCCATCAAGCATAACATTTGCATTATAGGGATTTCAGAAGATGAAGAGAGAGAAAAGGGGGCAGAAAATTTATTTGAAGAAATAATAACTGAAAGCTTCCCTAATCTGGGGAAGGAACAGATATCCAGAACCAGGAGGCACAGAGATTCCCCCCAAAATTCAACCCAAGGAGGTCCACAACAAGACACATATTAATTAAAATGGAAAAAGTAGTGATAAAGAAAAAAATTTAAAAGCAGCAAGAGAAAAGAAGATAGTTACACACAAAGGAAACCCCATAAGACTCTCAGGGGATTTTTCAGCAGAAACTTTGCCGGCCATTAGGGACTGGCATGATATATTCAAAGTGCTGAAAGGAAAAAATCTGCAGCCAATAATATTCCATCCAGAAAGACTATCATTCAGAATAGTAGAAGAGATCAAGAGTTTCTCAGATGAACAAAAGTAAAAGGAGTTCATGACCACTAAACCAGTCCTACAAGAAATATTAAGGGAGATCCTTTGAGTGGAAAAGAAAGACCATAAGTGAGAGTATGCAAAGTAAGAAATACAAAGGCAGTAAAAATAAGGTTTTCAGTAAACATCAGTCATTCATAAAATAAAAGGATGTAATATATGACACCATGTACCTAAAACATGGGGAGGAAAGGAGTAAAAACGGGTTTAAACTTAAGCAACCATCAACTTAATATAGACTTAATATAGACTGATATATTTAGAAGATGTTATATACAAACCTAATGTTAACCACAAATCAAAAACCATAATAGCTATGCAAAAAATAAAGAGAAAGGAATCCAAGTATATCACTAAAGAAAACCAACAAAACATGAGAGAAAGAGAAGAAAGGATCAGAGAAAATATATAGATAAAAACACAAAACAACTATCAAAGTGGCAATTGATGCATATATATATCAATAATTATGTTGAATGTAAATGGACTAAACTCTCCAATCAAAAGACTAGGATGACAAAGTGGACCAAAAAAAAAAAAAACCCACCACCCATCTATATGCTGCCTACAAGAGACTGATTTCAGACTTAAAGATACATGCAGATTGAAAGTGAGGGGATAGAGAAACATTTATCATGCAAATGGATGTCAAAAGAAAGCCAGGATAGCAATACTTATATTAGACAAAATAGACTTAAAAATTATTTATTTATTTGACACAGAGAGAGCAGGAGTGGCAGAGGGAGAGGGAGAAGCAGGCTCCCCACTGAGCAAGGAGCCTGATGTGGGGCTATATCCCAGGACCCTGGAATCATGACTTATTTTAAGCCTATTTTGATGGTATTTTCATAGGGATTCCATTGGAAGTGTAGATTGCTCTGGGTGGCAGAGACATTTTAACAATATTTGTTCTTCCAATCAATGAGCATGGGATGTTTTCCATGTCTTTGTGTCTTTCTCAATTTCTTTCATCAGTGTTCTGTAGTTTTTAGAGTACAGAACCTTTACCTCTTCAGTTAGGTTTATTCCTAGGTATCTTATGGTTTTTGGTCCAATTGTAAGCAGGATCGATTCCTTAATTTCTCTTTCTTCTGTTTCATTGTTAGTGTATAAAAATGCAACTGATTTCTGTGCA